CTAAGGCACTTGACTGCTAACCAGAAGGCTGGCGGTTCAAACCCACTAGCCACTCCTCGGAAGGAAGATGGGGCAATCTACTTCCGTAGTGATACTGCCTCGGAAACCCAAGGAGGGGTCACTATGAGTTGCGTCCAACTCCACGGCACATAACAACAACAACAATACGGTCATTAAATACCATCTTGGTAGCAAATGATCCCGGTCTTTGAGGTAGTTCCTAATTTTCCAAATAGGCCATGGTAGGTTTTAGGATGGTCTGATAAAACAATGTCCATCCTTGTAGCTGAAACATGCTATCATCACGTTATTCATCATTCATCATCATGATAAATACAAATGATCAGGAAGAAAGCTGAGTGCATCATCTACAGCCTCAATCCTAGAAGATTTCAACACACTTACTGGAAACTTTGCCAAAGAAATGAGGTGTCGCTATACTCAAAACCACATTCTTATTTAGCAAGTGTTCCCTGTCATGGCTCCCTGTCGCCTTTAGTGTGAAGTTTCAACTCCTCAGCTTGGCACAGAAGGCTCCTTGTAATCTGACTGCAGTCTATATATATATAGAAATCTAGGATCACCTCCTCCTAATCTAGAAGCACCCAGGAGCCCTTCGTCTGTGCTTTCTTTACACACTTCTCTCTGCCCAGAATACTTTTCTTTCACTTCCCAGTTGCTTAATTCCTAGTTGTCCTCAGGATACAACTCAAATATCACCTCCTCTAAGAAGGAGCTCTGGTGGCATAGTGCCTAAGGCATTTGATTGCTAACCAGAAGGCTGGCAGTTCAAACCCACCAGCCACTCCTCAGAAGGAAGATTGGGCAATCTACTTCTGTAGTGATACCACCTCAGAAACCCAAGGAGGGGTCACTATGAGCTGGAACCAACTCAACAGCAGTGAGTTCGGTCTTTCTGGTTTATTAAGAAGCCTTCACCAATACTCTCCCCTACTCTCTCAGAGCAATTAGGATATACTTCTGCTATAGTAATGATCACATTTTATTAATTATTGGCCACCTGCTCTGAACTACAAACTTCCTGCAGGCAGGAACTAATTTTGCATGTGATATATGAACCATCATCACTATGACATTCTAAGGTAGCTTCCAAATACTGAGATTCAACAATAAAATTCAAGAAAGTAAAGACATTTTAAAGAGAACTATCAAAGGTAAAGGCATTGTTAGATGAGTTATAATTCACCAACATGATAGACTGTTATCCAAATATTATAACAATTCTGAGACAATTTAACAGCTAAAAAATGCCTCTGACATAAGTAAAAATAAAACCAGGATTAAAATCTGTATATCAACATTTTATAGTTATGCAAAAAAACTATATAGTGCTGCAAACTATATAGCAAAAACTTTAGTTATGCAAACAAGCAAAACAAAACCATGAGCAAAGATATAAAGAGAATGCTATAAAATTCCTTCGCTTGTGTAATAACATTATAGGTGATTTTTGTCCGAGTTTACAAATTTTTTAATCTAGGAAAAATGGATAAATGGAAAACGTAAAAAGAAACCTCCAATGGACTTCAGGGTATTAGCGTATCTTTGTGGGAGCAGGAAGCTAGCTCTGTTTGCAAGTAGCAACATCAAGGCAGCATAGGCCCTTCACTTGTTAACAAATTCATTACGCTTCGCTGGACTAGCCCTACACAGAGATCCAGAAATTACGTGCACCAAATATGTAGCTCTCCAATGCTGCCTTGCAAATCCTTGTGATCTCTTGAAAACAGACTCTTATAAACAGTGACCAGACTAATGCATGCAGACCCCTGGCACTGAGAATCAATTAACTACAGGCACGAAAAGGTCAAAACAGGCAGTGAGTCATTGAGGCACTCATTCATTACAGTTTGTGGTTCTGGTGCTGCTGGCAGGAATGAGAGTTAAAGGGCAGGAAGAAAGGAAAATATGAAAAAGAATATTCAAAATGAAAGAGTTTCCACTTTCACTTGAGAGAATTAACCACCAACCCCATATTTTCAGTCCTCCACCAACTTCAAACTCTCTACCACCAGTTTGAAAGCAATCTGTTAACTTTAACTTTTCATACTTATGAAAGTATATGAAATTAAGAACAAACCCCAAACCCAACTCCTTGCCGTCAAGTCAATTCCAACTCATAACAACCCATTAGGACAGAGAATAACTTCTCCATAGGGCTTCCAAGGCTGTATATCTTCATGGAAGCAAAATACTACCTCTTTCTCCTGTGGGGAAGATAGTGGGTTTCAACTGCTGACCTTTCAGTTAGCATCCAAGCACTTAACCTCTGTGCCACCAGGCCTCCTTGAAATTAAGTAGAAGTCCCCCCAATTTCTCAAGGCTACTTCCCAGAAGTAATCACTGTTCAGCTTGTTCTATATTTTTCCTATCTTTTTCCATGCATTTGCTAACGTTCACAGAAAACAGAAAGTTTTCTCTTTACTTAACAAGATAGCTTTGCATGTTAGTTATACAAAATTCATTTAAAAAAAAATTCTATTATGGTGAAATTTCTATAACACCACACTAATCTTTTTAAAATGACAATTCAGTGGCCTTAGGGCATTCATCATGTTGTGCAACCACCACCCCTATCTAGTTCCAAAACATGTCCATCACTCCAAAGTCACCTTGTTCTTTTTTAATGGCTGTAGAGTGTTCCATGATCTCACTGTACCACACTGATTTAACCAGTACCCAACTAATAGACATTAAAGTTGTCTCTACAAAAACCAAAAAACCAACTCATTGCTGTCAAGTTGGTTCTGACTTATAGTGACCCCTCCTTGGGTTTCCAAGGGGGTATCTCTACAGAAGTAGATTGCCCACTCTTTTACTTTTTTTTTTAATTGTGATTTGGGTGAAGATTTATAGAGTAAATTCACTTTCCATACAGCAGTTCACATATACTTAGTCTCATGTCATTGACCACAGTTTACCACAGCTCCCCTTCCACTTCCTCCCCATAGTTTCCTCTTCCCAGTGTCCATCCCTCCATACACTTCTGCCCCCTGAGCTGTCTCCCTGTGCATGAGCAGCCCTTCTTTCTCCCATGATTGTTCTCTCCAAAGAGTGTATCTACTTGAGGTAAATGTTCAACTAATATGCTTGCATTTTGTTTGGCTGGAAACCACAGGTGTGGGTTCAATTCCAGACCTGAAAGGCAGCTAGGGGCCACAGTCTCAGTGGTTTCACCAGGCTCTATTGGACCAGCAAACCTGGTCCCCACCTTTTTCTTTTTTCTTCAAATGATTTTGAGGTTTGTTCCACATTGTTCTTCCTCTCTATCAAGGTTCTCCTACATAGATCCCCTTCCAAATGGATGACAGTGGTAGCCGGGTACCATCTAGTTCTTCTGGTCTCATAGTTGTATAG